AGAGATACAAAGCACCTCCATTCTTTCAGTCACAAAGCATTTAATTTTAGAGGCTGAGAGTTTCACTCTCTCCACTTGCATAGAAATCAAAGAAGGGATGCTAGATTGGTAAGTCTGTGCTGGTTTTCAGTGGTACACACAGGTCATCACCTCCAAATCACATGCAAGCAATGGATATTAAACCAACATGCTGAAAATGACAGAGCTGAAAGGGAAAGAAGAAAATTAACTCCCACCTCCCTAAAACTATTTTGTATCAGAGAAGCTGGCTTAAAGCACTAAAGTTTTACGTGCTTATTCTGTGGCCATAGGGACCCTCTAGCTTTACACCTTTCTTCATGGATAGCTAGTGTGCCCTCTTCATGCAGAGATGCTCTCACAATCCTCTTCACAGAGCACATAAACAAAACCCAACCTTCGCCCTGTCCCAGGCTCTGCTGCGAAGTCCCACACCACAACTGCTTGTCCAAAACTCCTCCCTCCCTCCTGGGATTGACAGGAAAGCCAGACTGCTTCTTGCAACTTCTCCTTCTTGACCCAGCATCCTCCTTCAGTCCCTGAACCCAACTCTATGTAGAAGCAACTGTAAGATGACGGGCATTTGTAGAGCCAGATGGAAACAACCTCATCAGAGGTCTTCTCACCACCTAATCCACTCACTGGCTGTGATCAGCCTCTGATCAGCCTCTGCTGGGAAACCACAAGCTCATTGGCTACATAGAGCATGGTCAGTGTTTCTTGGTGGTACAGCTGAAACTAATTCTTCTCTCCCATAGAGGAAGATAAACTCATTACAAACCCTTATGATTTGTAACACCACCTTCCCCCTTCTCTCCCTCCCCAGAAATGCTGCCCTTTGTGCAGATGCAGCCTCCCAGGATGTTCCACTGCACCAATAAAAATCAGGAGTGAGATTCATGTTCCTGGAACTTGTAGAAACTATATGCATGACTAAAAGCTTTTACATCCTCAACACAAAATGTCACCCCTACTTAAACACAGACTGCTTGCTGTAATATCACAAACATGAAACAGGGGCCTTTATCACTGCTGCGGAGACAAGAATGCTATTGTGATTGGGTTTTTGTCAGGGCCACTTGGATGATCCACTCAGTGATGTGACGAAGAAATCAAATCAATGACACCATCACCCACAGATCAGCGAAGCAGGAGAGACCCCAGGCAGTCACCTGTAGGGCCATCCTTTGCCACCAGCCACTGGCCTTCAGCTGTTTAGTTGGCAAATTATATAAATTATAGAAAGAACTGAAAGAATATGGGAGGACCATTATAAATAATTATATTTTGGCAACCTCTCTGAAGTTGGAAGTCACAGGGAAAAATCTCAGAGCTAGCGCATCTTCAGTGACCTGAATCTTATTTCCCTCTCATTCACTCCAGAGAGGGTGACAAGTAATGCCAGTGGAATCAATGGAATAACAGTGGAACAAGGCTGAGAAAGAGACTCACCCCTCTCGTCCAAACAGACCCTATGTCATTGCTGCCTGGCTCCCTGATGACCAGGGCTCTCATTCTCCTTTGCAGCACATCTCAGGGGCTCATCTTCCCCAACATAAGGAGTAAGCAAAAATACCAGCAGATCAAAATGACAGTTTTGTATGTTATCAGCTGCAAAGACAGTGGAAATTCAGGACAACCATATCTGTAATAAAAGAGGGACAGCAGTGATAAGAATATCTTTGCTTTTAATTTGATAGCATGAATGTGCTATGCAGTAAGCTGAAAATATTATGAGAGCCCCCAACTTGAATCTCGGCCAAGTAAACTATTTTTAGTGGAATGTGTTTAGCTTGCTTGTTAGAGATTCAAACCTAGGCAATAATTGCAGTTACTCTTCTGTCTGACTTAAGCAGGCAACATTTATTAATGTACAGTGATTAAATCAACTATTCCAAAGTAAGCCACAAAGACTTAAAGCGATGAGGAAACAAGATGATATCCTGGCTGAATAAAGTCAGCCCGGTGATCTAAGTAAGATCTGATCCATGATAAACAGCTTATTAATGCAGAGTGGAGGGAAGAGAGCTGCAAGTTCTGAAGGGGAATTTGATTTATCCCTCTGATGGCAAAGTGATAACTGACTGATCAGAGCAAACTCTGTCATGGATTTTATAGACCCAGTTATTTCATGCAGGTCTCTCAACAGCTGTTGACTTATAGTAAGTCCATCTGAGGGCTGGATTCAGATTGGGAAAGAGATTCATCCATGATCAAACCCCTGATCCATCTTGTTTTTCTGGGTTCACACTTACACTTGAAATCAGAGTTCAGTATCCTACATACTCACTCTTTAAAATGTCCTGGTTGAAAAGCAAAGTCCTCCTGGCCTGTCTGTTTTGCAAATGTACAGGTGTATACAAGCTCTTTAGCAACAGATAAAACAGGATATAACCACACTGCATGCTGGGGGTGAGAGAAATTGCTTTTGATGATGATGTTCTCAACACTTGGAATACCCAGGGATTTTTGGTCAATTCTTTTATGCTGAAGAAAATAAGTCTACAAATAGATCTACATGCTTCAGCTATTTGTGCAAAACATCTCATTAAATAGAAGCATTTTTTTCGCAGATAAACCTGGTACATATCCAATGGGTAAAAGGATAAATGGCTATAATCTTCAAATTCACAAGACTACACAGACAGGGTATTTCATAGCTGCACCAAGTCCATAATTGAACTTCTGCCCTGGGGGCAAGTTTTCCTGCAGTACAAGTGCTTCCAGATGCCATACAGGGGTCATGTTCCTTGTCAGGAAAGCAGAGCTTTATATCCAGTTAATTGTTATCACCAGCTGTCTTTTTTTTTTTTTTTTTTTGTTGAGGCTAGTTTTCCAACAGTCATTCAAGCAAATGTGCTCATTTCCCAGTTCCCCCGCAATTCCCCACCACAGTGTAACAAAGTGCAGATTTCACATGGCTACATTCCAAACTCTGTGGTGTTAAAATTATAGCAGCAATGGAAAAGCTTGTAGCCTCAATAATCATAATCTAGGACTTGAACTAGAGGTGACTCAGTGGTAGTCAAACAGATGCTATATGAAAATAGAACGGTTTCTATGTACAGAGTGGTTAACCCATGGAGTTAGTACTCACACATGAAGGTTTCCACGGCTTGCTAAGCAGCAAAAATTACTCAGTCTGAATTAAACTAATGACCTCAATTCAGTGCATCATGCCTGGGTGTCCATCTCAGAACACAGCAACCATGAACAGCAAGTCTCTTCTCCCATAATTCCTTTGGGCTTCATCTTTGGTGTCAATCACATGAAAAAAAAGGCAAACACCATGTCCATCCAGTATTCAGATCTCTTCAGCTCAGTAGCAAAATATTCACTGATCTGAGACAGCTCAACTGGGGCTGTGAGAGGAAAGTTCAGACCAGAGCCTGCTGCAGAACAAACTAAAAAAACTGTAAGGAAGACAGTGGATATAACAATAGGGCAACACAACTCCTTTATCCTCCTGAAAGTATTAATGAGAAACTTGTGTGTGCATTGCATCACAGTCCCTTGTGACCAAGCACTAGCTACCACCTGCTTGGGTTGCCAGACCTGCTGGTTGAAGAACAGCCTGGGGGAGCTCACAGTTCAGGCTGCTGAACTACTGACCATTAAACACTCAGGACCAAAGTCTAGGGAAGGATTTTATACCAACTTGCTCAATTTTACCAATAACAGCTCTGGAAGAGGCAGCTTCAAGCCACTGTAGTTGTGCTTTTCAGACGGTCCTTCAACACAGATACAGTCCTACCTAAATAGTCCTTACCACTCCCTCTTCCCTCAGAAAACAACCCAGCTTTTTTAGTCAATAAAAGATCACTTAATCTGTGTAATAAGAAGAGGTTTGACATTTACAGCAACCCATTCCTTATCTTTTCGGTGTCTATTCTCTGGATTCCCCAGCAGGGAAACCCACACTATTCTGTGGGCTTCCTGTTGAAACTTGTCACTGCCTGATGACAAAAAGCAAATGTATGCCATAATCTTAAAGGTCTGGAGATAGACATTTAGAGCCCAGTCAGCAGCTTAGCTTCATAAGGTTGTATTTTCCCCAGCAAAGTTCACTACATTTTTGGAAGATCTGAAAACTACTTTTTTTTAATCATTAGTGAATAAACAAAAACTGGAGGGCAAATACATCGTCATCAAAATGTTCCTCATCTGAACATGCCTCTCCTAAGCTTCTGTCAGACCAAAAAGCAAACAGGTTGTGCCAAGCCTTCTTCTTGTCGGTGGCTCATGCCTAGGCTAGGATTTGGATCTTCTGATTTGGTAGCACAGATGATTCCCACTCACATTCCCTCTTGCAAGAGGAGGGCAAGGAAAGCCACTTGCTACACTGAAATTTCAGGAAACATTGCTGAGCAGCATGTCCCTGTGCTCCTCCCTGTGCTGAAACTTCATCAGTTCAATTTCTTACTCCTGTTGTTGCAATTAACCTTCAGAGAAAATGATTAACCGCAAGTGTAGGCATATTAGGGCCTGGTCCAGATTATTAGCCTAGAAACTATGTCCTTACTGCAATTCTACAGTTGTTTCTCCTCCCTGGATGAAATCCTGACTCCTTCCCCACAGCCTGGCAGTGCTTGCTGACTCAAAATTAAAGAACAATTATCTGCAACAAAGAGAGAGGTGATCACATCTTCTTCCTTAACTGGGACACTGGAAATTAAAAAGTCCCCCCCTCACCCAGTGTTGCTCCTGAAAGATCCTGCAGAAAATCAGACACAGTTTTACGTGTAATGTGGCCCAATATGCTAAATATTTCAAAGAAAAAAAGCTGGGGTCAGCATCATCCCTGACAGCCAGAACATGATATGCTTGGATGAGGAGTCTGCGGGGGGGGGGGGGGGGGGGGAGGGATTAGCCTCTCTGGGGATCTGTGCTTGGCTCCTCTTCATACAATGCCTGCCTCCAAGCACAAACTCCCACCCAGCCCCACTGCCGCCGCCCCCCAAGCAGTACTGTTCCATACTCACCATGTCATAAACATTCAGAATCACTGGTTCATTTGCCATTGTTGATTGCAGTAGAGGCTGGATTAAAACCTTTCAGTCCCTGCCAGATGTGTGTTGCTGCCCCCAGGGTATGCTTTTACCCTGAGCCAGATAGAAGGAAATGCCTCATCCTACAGTCTCTGAAGGAAGGAGCGTGGAGGGAGGAGGAAAGGAGGGAATTCTCACGGTTGGGCTGGGTAAAGTTGGTTTCAGGGAGGCAGAAAGGCTTGGGCTGGGTTTGCTGGTTGTACAGGGTTTATTTTACCCCTCCACAGCGCGACAGATCCGAGGTTTCTTTCTAACTCTGTAGTGCACCTCGGGGTCTGTAGACTCATACACCACTATAACCAGGCATCGTCCAAGCTCATAAATCCCGATCTGCAGAAGATACACAGACTCCGAGCCCAAAGACAAGCCCTCTCCTGGCACCGGGAGAGAGGCGGGGGGGGGATCTCTCGGCGTCCTTCTCGGCAGGGCGGCGTGCTACCACGGGCAGAGGGCTGCCAGCAAGACGCAAGAAGCCGGGGCAGCGAAGCGCGGCGCGGGCGCGGAGCCGGGCACCGCGGAGCCTCCCGCCCAGAGGCGCGGGCCGCCGGGGCGCTGTCCGCGGTGCTGAGCGCCGGGCGCTGTCCGCGGTGCTGAGCGCCGGGCGCTGTCCGCGGTGCTGAGGCTCGGCCGGAGCTCAGGCGCTCCGGGGAGGGCTCTCCGCCCCGGGCAGGACATGGCGAAGAGGCTGTGCCGGAGGAGTTCCAGCGCGGGGTTCGGCCGTGGGAGGAGGAAGAGGAAGGGGCTGGCAGCCCCCCGGGCAGAGGGGGGATGCTGCAACCCCCATCCTTCCCACAGCCGTGCGGGCAGACCTGGCGCCGGCGCCGAAGTTAGAGTGGGCTGTTCTCCGCGAGAGATAGCGCGGGATTACCGGGCGCCGGGGCTGGAGGGAGGAAGATGCCGAGTGGGCGATGCTTCCAGGCACGGTGCGGGGCCGGCGCTGGGCACCCCCGGCAATGCGTGCTCTGCTCTCCGCCAGGGTCACTCCTTATTTCGGGATCAGCTCGTCCCGAGCCGGGCAGCCCCTGCCGACTGACAGCCGGGGGGACCTGCCCCGTCCTCTACCGGCTGGATGCATCTCTGCATGGCACACGGTGGGAGGGCGGGGAAGGGACGAAGCGACTGGGCAGGGCGAGTAGTTTCACTTCTGGCAGCGGCAGGGTCTGGAGTTTCTTCCGTCCTGGAGCTACTTTACACTCGTGTTAGGCTCGGGCAGCTCTGCAATGTCTTGCCAGTACACACTCCCTTCCGACCTGGTTGCGAGTGTCAATTATAAAATCCACTGCGGTAAATTCATCTTCCTTTTGCTCCTCCTCTCTCTTTAAAGGGAGAGCAGGGTCTGTGACGGTGCTGGGAAAGGGTGCAGCCGAGGGAGGCGGGGGGAGAAAGAGGCTTCTGCACCCAGAGATTTGCAGTGATGTGGGACTGAGCATGCTGACCTTAAACGTTCCGACATCGCAGACTCTGAAGCAGAGGGGGCCCTCTATCCTCCCCCCAACCCCCCCCCCCCCCCCCCCCAAAAAAAAAAAAAGCAGGGATGACCTCATCTGAGTTGGAGGCGTATCTGAGGCTCTCTGCCAGCTCACAGCCAACCAGATCTGAATGAAAATTGCAGGAAGCCCGTTACATCAGCAAAGCCCAGCATGCCCCAGCCCTTCCCAATACTGTCTGCAGCCGCATGGGAACCATCCTGTCCGGGAGATGGGCTCACCTCCCTTTGTCAGGAGCAGGAGGACAAGACCACAGAGCTGCAGCCTTGTAAATGACTTGTTACACAGCGTGCAGGAGGATTTGTAGTGAAGACAGGAATCACAGAAGGAGAGTCCACATCCTGCAGAGCTAAGTGCCAGCCCAACAGTTAGACATAAAACTTTTTTCCTCAGCCAGTGCCAAAGGAGACCCAAGAACTGCTTTGCCCTAACAGTATGCATTTGCATTTTGAAGAGCAAAGCCACGGCTCAGGCCTGGGCATGATGGCATGCAATATGGCAGGGATTCCAGCACAGTAATTTCATCCAAGCTAGTCATTCCATGGGTGGGCTAGGCAATTCCACGCACATGGCACTGGGGCTGGGCCAGCAACCCCAGCTGCCCCCCTCAGCCCTTCAAGCCCAACTTCACTGTTAGGTACCATTAACCATCTGGCTCAGCATCCTGAACCTGCAGGAGTAGTTTGTGCAGGTGGGAAAAGGTGCCTCCTCCTCCTCCTCCCTACCATCTCAGAGTCCAGATACCACTCAGAAGAGAGACTGAGCCCCCATCATCTTTTTAAAGACTATGAAGCAATGAAAAGCTCCCTCTGCAAGGGGCTAAACACCATCATTCGTGCCCTAATGTATAAAAGAAACCTCCTACTGAATCCCACAGGGCTCCTGCTTAACTATCAAAGATACCCTGAGATTGTCACTTTTGGGTACGTGTCCTGCTCTGATGATGGTGATGTTTTAAGGAGACTTGAAAGGAGAGGGAATAGTTGATATTAGTCTGACTGACATAAATGGAAAAGAAAAGCAGCTGCTTACTTGCTAAATTAAACCCAAGGTCTCTGGGCTCCCTTTTCTTTCCCTTCATGGAAAGAAGTTGTTCCACAAGGTGACAACCTCATCAGTGTTTCAGTGATGCTTTGAAAGTTCCTTTTTCTACCCCATTCTGTTCTAAGCAACTTATTCTAACTCCAGATAGAAGAGACCAGTCTGAGTACAAATGTCCTAACATTAATATAAGCTTTTTAACAGACACATAAACATTTTACAAGGCTCAGCTTGCTCTGGGCTGTGTTGAAGTGTTTCATCAACAGCTCAGGCTGATACCAGTCAAGAAACAGAATTGTTCTATTTCAGGTGTGGGAGTACAATCTTGCAGACAGCCCCACTGTCAACAGGCACCAGAGCCCAAGTTTTGCCTTGTAAAAGCATTAAAATTTAAATGAGTTGTAAATAGAGAGGAAAAGGAAGATTATTCTTATTACTGGTTAGAGCAGCTGGAATTAGAGCTTCAGGATCATCTTTTAACCACTTATGCTACTTTTAGGACATAGCAGAAACACACATTTTTCCCATCCATATGCCTAAAGCTGGACAACACCTTCACCCACATTTAAGCAGCCTGTTGCAAGGGCTTATTTTCTCAGATTCTTCACATCCCTCACACTTCCTTCAAAGGGATTCATGTATTTGAACGGGGGTCATCCACACTTACTATTCATGGCATGTGTAAGCATGCACCTACAATGATCACTGTCTAAAGCAGGCAATGTGGTCTTAACATGTGTTCTTAGATTAAGAGGTGAAAAGGGTTAAAAGGAAAATAATGTCACCATTCAGCATTGCTTAGAAACACAAGAATCAAGTACAGCCTTTAGTAATTACCTGGTACATTAACCAAGGCAGTAGCTGAGAGCTTCAGCCACCTCCTCCAGGTCCCAGTCATGAAAGTGGCAGTGGTGGGCAATGAAAACAGTGCTGTGGCATTCCACTGGGGACAAGAACAAAAGAACAGCAGTGCAAGAGGGAACTAATGGATGTATTAGAGATGATGGTTGTATCTGAGGGTCTGTCTACTTGTGTTGCTATTAAGGAACTCTAGTTTAAATTAACACCTTTCCTTAATTTACCCTCATGCACTTTCAAAGTCTCCTTAGCAACCCAGTAGACAATGGGGCTTTCAAGCATGCTTCACAGCAGGGCTGCTCAGTTTACACTTCAAGACACTTAATGGTCTCATCTCCACATCAGGTACACCACCCCTGGCTGTCCATTATACTTTTTGACAACTTGTCATTTTGGATTGTATATAGTGCTTTTGCCCATGTCAAGTTGTCATTATTATCCCATTCTGAGTACATTAGCCAAGACAATTCTTTTTAAAGGAAGTATAAAATGGCCTTTTCAAAACTAGAGACTTTTTTTTTAGGTCCCTGAGAATGGTGGAGGGTATTTGAGAATGTAAAGAGAGTTCCATTGCCCTTATTCCATCTACAACAATAAATCACCACCTGGGTAGGTGCTAGAGCTTCGTAGACTTATTCCAGGAGTGTCAGAGGAGGTATTTTGACTGAAAGAGTTTTATCTCACTTTTGTCCGAGACATTTGTAGATACCAAGGAGCTGACTGAGTCTGGTCTGACTTGAGTGCGGGATATGGGAAAAATGGGGAGATAAAATCAGCACAGGATGCCAGCAATGGCACAGGGCTTGGGCTTTGCCCTATGGAAGGCAATATGGGAAATATTTAACTTCAGATTTCACCACAGAGGGAAAGTACAACAGTCAAATTGGATGATTTCAAACATTTTAAAGATTTTATCCAAGACTGTGGGGATCTGTAGCTGAAAGCAAGGTGCTTGTTAGTAACTGGGGGAAACAAAGTTAATATTTGCATTGAATTCCTCATCGAGTCACTCTTGATTTTGCATTTTGTCTCCCTTCTCATTGCAGCTACACTTCCCAACTTAATACTATAAAGTTGTTTGTCAGGGAGCAATGAAGGCTGGCGGCTCCTAAAGGGAAGGGGACCTGAGTGCAATAACATGGCTGGCAGGGCAGGGACTTCACTGTCCAGGGCCCTGTCCCACAGCCCATGAGCCAGATGCGCCGGGCAGGCCTGGAGGTGGCCACCACATTCAGCCAAGAGTCCAGATCATCAGGTAAGTTCATAAGGATAAGGCAGGTCTAAAGTCAAGCTGGAACATCAGTCCATGGGTCAGGCCCAGCAGGGCAGAGCTGGGGACCAGCATCCTACCTATGTCACTGAGGCAGGCATCACTGGGGCAAGGATTTATGGCCCCAGGCTGGGCTGAAATGGTGCTCCTGGGCCATGGGCAGGCCCCAGGCGAGTATAGGGCCCTATCACCTCAGTTTACATAAAGCAATACTGTCAACTGATAGCCAAGCAATGTACATAAATACTTCCAACCTGGAAACTGGGATGGAAATGCTGAACATTCATGTTCATTCTGATGCTAATGTTTAGGCAAATAGTTTCATTATTATCATTATTATTATTATTGCAAATTCACAGCACACACAATAATGGCTCAAGAGCAGCCAATGCATGCAGTTAAAAGGGATAGTACACATTAAGAGTAATTTGTGTTGTATGTCTGAGGATCTAAGCAGGTTTTTAGTTTCAGAGGGGTTTTCCATCAGCAGCATCTTCAGATTATTTATTTGCATTATGTTATAATAAGTTTTAGAAGCTGCAGGGGGGAGCAGGGACCCATGTTATTGCACACTCTATGAACGCACAGGAGGTGACTGCACCTACTCAAGGAAAAGTGGCAATTTAAAGAGATGGTACAGGTGAGTGGCAAGAGAAAAGATACATCATCAACCCCGTGTCACAGAGGTGTGGGGAAGCAAAGCAACCAGACTTCAACCAAACAGCGAATCTGCTGTACAGTCAGGACCAAAGAGAACTGAAGCGAGGTGCAATGCCACACTTGTAAAGAAGGAGACAGGAACTGACATAGGCTGTGATCCAAAAAGCCAATGTTTAATCCTGACTACATCAAGGCTGCCTCCCTCTTGGGCCAGGACAATCTTTGTTCCCCTGCTGAGCATGCCCCAAACTACCCCAGCCAAGGCACTGTCGTTCTTCGCTCCTGTTGCAGTCTGACAGAGACCCACAAAATCAGCATGGTGGCACATCATACCCCCAGATAACTTGGTCTGCCTGATGTGCTCTGATCCCTCCTACCACATGTTGGCAGCTAAACACAGGATCCCGAAGAAAAGACCAAGCTCCTTCAAAAACACACTGGTGGGTCCACTGACTGCTTTTGGTATAATCACCTGTTCGTTAGATTACAGGGAACTGGAAACCTGGGCTCTCTTATTCCTGCACATTTAAAGCTCACCCCACCATGAAGAGCACACAAACCCTCAGATTACAGAGGTGGTGTAGGTATCTTACATCCTTCTTGCTCACCACACAGCAAAGGATGCAAGAGCCCTGGGCTTCATTCCCAAAGCAATTTATGCATTTGACATTGGGTGAAGACAATCCACAGAAAAGGAGATGGGAGCTCCAGCTCTTGTTCCTACACAGATTCCCTAGCTACGATGCTACACTGTTCCAGCACCCTCAAGCTGCCTATTGATTAGCATCCAGGCATTTGATGCCCAGGTATTAGGTCTCTTTTTCAGTCAAGCCAAGTATCATATTCGGCAGCTGCATCATAGCTACATTCCAGTCATTCTAGAAAAGTTACCAAAGCTAGGGGTAGAGGATATTGATTAAAGAGATGCATATATGCATCAAAACTTATTCATAGAGTTTAGGTATTTCTTATTCTATACCTTAGCCTCTCTTTGCAGTCCTTTCATAGAACCTGAACATAAAGGAAATTAAGAAATCACAAAAATATTGAAAGGTGTCTCAAAACTGGTCCTAATTTTTAACTTTGCCACTGAGATTTTAACTGTATGTGCAAAGTAGGGTAAAATGCAACTTGCAAGCTATTTCTTACAG